TGTATTTGGTGTGCAAGGACATGAGTGTCAAAGGGCCTGTGCCATAGACTCAGCTGTGTCACCCAAAGTCCATGTGTTGAAGCCCCAATGCCACTGTGATGGCATTTGCAGATGGGGACTTTGGGAGGTTCAGATGAGGTCACGAGGGTGGCGCCCTCACGGTGGGATTAGTGCCCTTGGAAGAAGAGATACCCAGGAGCTGGCCGCTTCTCTCCACCTGCACACACCCAGGGAAGGCCATGTGATGACACAGTAAGAAAGTGGCCATCTGTAACCAACAAGAGAGCCCTCTGCAGACACTGGCCACGCTGGCATCTGGCTTTTGAATGTCCAGTCTCCAAGATGGTGAAAAGAAAACCCCTGTGGTCAAAGCCACTGAGTCTATGGCGTCTTGTTATGGCAGCCCGAGCTGTCAAAGACAGAGAGCAAAACGCTAACCTCAGTGTGTTGCCTGGCAGGTAAGGTACAGGGGGAACGTCAGGGAACAGCAGGCGCTTCTGAGGACCGCCCCCAGAAACACACAGGACAGCCTGTGTTCCTCCAGCACCACCGGCAGACAGACTTCCTACGTGATGGAAACGTTGTCCATCTGTGCGAGCTGACATGAGAATACACTTTCCATTAAGCACCTGCGGCTGCCCCGCTTCTGAAACGCTGCTTGTGTGGGACTGAGGAGACAAAATTTTACCTTTATTGGATTTGAATTTAATTTGAAGACTTTCAGAAACTATTTCCTACAGTCTCAAAGAAAAATTTTAAAACCCTTTGAAAAAACAGGTTTTAAAAATAAATGAAGTGTTAATAAAGCAGCAAAAGGTGAAAGCTGAACTTTCTAAAAAGAAATTTGAAGATACATGTACTAGCAGAATTAAGACTAATCAGAAACAGTAAGTAGAAAAGATACTGAGGACATAAAGGCAGATATATAAAGAAAACACTTTAGAAAACAGTACGTTTGGTAAAGAAAAAATATAGAAAAATGAGCAAAAAAGGAAAACACAGTTGTTCAGAGGCCAATTCCATACATGCATAATAAATATCTCTTTATCTGAAAACAGAACAAATAGAACCAAAAAAAATTCAAATATATATTGTAAAAATATTCCTGAAATGAGTATATGGAAATGTAAATACGTTGACTCTTTGTTGTATTTGGGGAAAACCTGATGTAGAATGACCAACTTTAAGACATGTCCTGAGAATGTGTTAAAAATTAAAAGATAAAAAAAGAATCCAGTGTGTTCCAAAACTGGAAAAACAAATCACCCACAAGTTAGAAGGAGAAAAAAGTGCAGGCTGGCCTCTGAAGTCTTATCTGTAGTGTTCAATGCCAACTGGTAGACTTGCAATGTCTACAGACTTCCAAGGGCATTTTGTTTCCAAAAAAAAGTATGAAATCCAACCTTTGTGTCACCAGTCTGTTGTTTATAGAAGTAACAAAACAGCGTTACTCACACATGGGCAAGTCTCAGTGGACGTGGGACTCATGAGTAAGTCGGTACAAAGCATCTGATGCAGAAGCCAGTCAGCAAAGAGATGAGCGAGGAAACAGAAAGACCTTGGGAATGAGGACGCTGTAGCTGATGGTGGGCAGGGAGGCCATTCGCACACAGCAGCGGGGCACCTGTGACAGGCGGACGCCGGCTGTCAAGGCGTGAGAAGGTTACTCACGGGAGGACGATGATCGGTGTTTTAGAAGTTGGTTTGTGAAGGAAAGAAGTGGGGGGAACAGGCGAGACGTGAACATCTTCACCGGTCACAGGAAGACATCGAGGTGTGCTTTCTGAGCCTGGCATTGGAAAAAGACCTCCGTGCCTTAGATGCCAATCAATTTTCTGTTTATTGCAAGTATCAGAAACAACCAGCCAAGATTAAGTTGAAGCAAAAAGGTGAATTAACAAAGGGCACCGAGCCACTGCAAAAGACCAAGACTTGGAACTCACCTCCAGGGCAGCTAACGTGACAGGAGCAGGGGACCGACCCCCAGGCACCAGCTGCCCCTCCTCCTCGTCAGCACTTCTGGGGTCCCCTTCCATCTCTCCTCGCTTCCTCTGCATCAGCTTCATCCATCTCACCAGAGAAAGCCTGACTGAGATCTCCAGAACATCGCCCTTTATTACTACAGCCCTGGTTTTCCTCCTTTTCAGTTCTAGAATTCTGAGGTGAGCTTTCTGATTGAGCCAGTGAGGTCAAGGGTTCAATTCTGATCCAATCGATTGTGACAGCAAACAGCTGACTTGAGAGGCTGGGCTTTGCCCAGTGAGGTCACATGTGCATCACTGAGTCTCCCAGCTACCACTGGGAGGCTCAGGCAGAGGTGATGTGAGGTCAGGGTTGGGGGCTGGTCCCCAGGAGAAGAGGGTTATTGGATGGACATTTAACAGACGTAGGTTATATTTGCCTCAGATGTAACCAGAGCCACCATTTCTAGCTTTCACCGTCCACTGTAGGTCCCAGTGTGATTTACCAGGTAGCTTCCGCTTTCCAGATGGCCCCTGTCCAGTGACTGGTGACTGGAAGTGCCAGCCCTCCAGAATGTCCCTTTGCTCAGGCACAGACCCCTGTCCCCAAATCAACCAACCTCTCGGGACTTTTGACTGATGCCATAAAATGCAGCAGTGCATTCTAACATGAGGAATTGGACAGAGAAAAATCTTCATCAACTGCATGTGAGAAGACAACAGAAAATTCAAGGATTTCCCCCATTATGGGTGACTTGCTACCAATGGACCTGAACCAGGGATGACTCTGTCTCTCGGGCAAGTTTACAATACGTGGAGGCATTTTCGGTTGTCCCAACTTGAAGGTGTGTTACTACTGGCAACTTGTAGGCAGCCTGGAGCTCAAGTCAAGATTCAATTAGTAACCTATGTCCTTAATTAGGCGCTTGCTACTCTGGGTCACTCCTCTTTCAATGCATTTTATCTCTATTTGCAACAAACAATAAAGTAAGAAAAAGGAAATGACACATCACTAGCAGCAAATGGCACTGCCACAATTGTCACCAAAACTCTTGGGACGGTCCTATAACTGTCACTTGCTACCGGATTGAGAGAGAAGGTTGACTCTCCTGGGAGATGCTGCAAATTATTTCAGAGTTCTCCTAGGGAAGACGTGATATTTGCAAGCTTAGTCCTAACGTATTCTCACAAAGTTACAGAGGACTTCTGAATCATAGTTCTTTTTTTTTTAAGTACTCTGAGGTTAAGAAAAAATAACATTGACCTCAATTTTTAATACTCCTGAGGGCCTGAAACGAGGATATGGAACAAGAACCCTTGTTCTCCTAAACAGAAATGGAGCCAACAACATAGAGAACTTTATGAGCCAGATAATGTCTGTTGTCCTGGAGCTAAAGAAAATGTTGGCCCGTCTTGCAAAATCACAGCTGTTTCTGTCTCATTTAGCGACTGGGCCCACTCCCTGCAGCCCAGTTTGCCTTTTGAAATATAGCACAGCTAGCTAGCCATTTTGCAGTATGTGATTAAAGCCACCGACAAGCGAAGTTTTCTTTACTTTTTTTTTTTTTTAGCTCTTTGTCTCAAAAACTTTAGAAATCTTGACAAGCATTGCTCAGAAATACAGATTACATTTTTGGAAAGAAGATGCATAGAGATTTCTTACTGTGTACAAAATTATGCATATTTTTATCAACAAATAAAATGCACTTTGGAAACATGAGGGTAAACAGGTCCTTTTCTAAGATAAAAAAAAAATGCTGCACTAATTTAACCGTAGGCATTGATGGTGGGAGAAAAGATTTCTGTGACAACTTCATTCACCCACCATGTGTGTTTCGAGGTTGCAAAACAGCCTACCAGCAAACCTTCTGAGTCAGAGAACTTTCAAGTTGAAAATCAACTAATAATTTTTAATAAGTTAAAGAAGTAGATGAAACTAAACTTAAGATGTTGATCAACCGGTAACATTCAGTACTTAAAATTATGTAACTGTTTTGAGAGTCCGTGAAAGTAACAGTTTCAAAATTGTAAAATCAGGACAGTCAAGCAGAGGAAATTCTATGACCCTGCAGTCAAAAGTTTATTAAAGTAAAATTTTCTTAAAGGTAAAACTGCAACTTTTAGCAAATGTAAAATGAACATGTCAAAATTTTAGTCAAGTAATTAACTAACGCAGGAACCAGTAAGATGGTAAAAGCATTTCCAAGTGTATTTCAAAACCTGAATGTTTATAGGCAATGTTCGGATGAGGTTGTTGGACTAGATGTAAAGACTGGTTAATGTCCAACAAGGTAATAAACTGTAAAACCATTAGGGCTGGCTTTTCCACCAGACAGAAATTATTTGCATTTCCCAGGGATAAAAATTTTCAAGTTAACCTCTGACCTACAGCTTGACTAAACAGCCCGTTCAATACAAAACCAGGCCGAGCATCGCACTGGAAGGACACTTGGAATTCTCTTCTGACAAGTTGCATTGTCTTTCATATATGAATCTTTCGTTCTTGATGACATTATGCAGTTTTTAGAGACAGGTCTCCATCATCTTTATCTGACCCATGTACAGTTCCCATAGCACATTTTCAGGCTTGTGCCCTAAATGTGCCCAGCTTGTTCTGTGCTGAGATAAACATCAGAATTTATAAGACAATGTGTAGATGAATCTCCATGTAGGTTATTTTATTCACTAGGTATAATATACTTTCATGTATATTTAGAAGTCCAATGGTATAAACAAGCTGTCACACAAGTTCAGAGATTATAAATATTTTGAGCATGAGTCTGAGACATTTTGTATTTCAGTAAGTTCCCCAGGTGCCTGATGAGCTTAATAAATATGAATGTTATAAAGAAAATTTTAAATATGATGGTAAAACTCACCCCAAGCAGAGAAAACCCCAAATTAGTGACAGCTATGAACTAATTTGCACACCGCCTAAAACAACGCTATACGTACACCAAGAGAAGGTGTCATGTCGCTGTTAACGCAATCAAACATACGCAAACACAGAAACAACCTGGTGCAACTCTAAATGATGCAATGGTTTCTTTTCTCATGGATAAAGGGAGCCAACGCTCCCCTAAACATAACTTCTGAAAAGCAACCCATCTACCAAAAAAAGTCTACAAAATAAAAGGCGTGAGTTTTTAATTTCCAATATTTTTATTACAGATTTTTCAGATGCATATTTATTTTCATAACATCAGCTTAAAAATAATTAATCGCACAAGAATAAGCTTTTGTATGTCTGCCAAGGTAAACTGCTCTATCTTAAGTTTCTCAAGTTATAAATAAGCCACATCATGTGCTTCTGTGAACCAAACCGCAGCATCGTTGGACTGCATCCGAAAGGCACAGAGCATCCCCACTGTTTTCAGTGAGAGAAGAGAATATTAATCATTAGGACGAAAACCCTGGCCTCCAGCTACCGATCATCCGAAACTAATACAGCCTGAATTATTCACTGAGTCTAAAACAAAAAGCACTGTTAAAAAGCAAAGGTGACCAAAACAAACACGTGTTCCTGGGCCTTGCGTTCAACATTCAGCATTTCAGAATAACTGGAGGCAGACAAACCACCAGACCCCCAGCAGAAGGACCTAGCTGCCCAGAAGCCGTGGAGTATGAGGTGTAAAATTAAAGCCACTTCTGAGGAACCTGGGATTCCCAGTGCCAGCGTCACAAATTTGCGTAGGATGGTCTAGTCCATAAAAAGCATAGTAAAATGCAAATATTTCACAAGGGAATGTCAAAGAGAGAATGGTCTGGAGACCAGCTCTCCAAGAGTCAGCCGGCAAGTGAGGATGCTGAAAGTCAGACCTGAATGCAGGACCCAAACAGTTATAATTAGATGATCTAACATTCCCTGTCCCTTGGTCCACCTTCTCTGGTACTCAACATATTAGTTTGACATTTTGCTCCCATACATTTGTATAAATTAAAATCTATAGATATGCTCTTTTTAAAAAAACACCTAGCATTTGTCGTCGTAACGTGTTGAATAGTTCTAATTTACGGTGACATTGAGTTACCCTTGATCAGAACACAGAAAAGGGGGCGTAGTCTAGCAAAAACATGTGGAACTGAGAAAATAAAGGATAGCCTGTATTAGAAACATTCTTAAGTTCTATTTTTAAGCTTTCAGAGAAAGGAGAAATCAGTATGTTTTTAAATAAGGGGTAGGGAGTGGGAGGTGGTGGGAGGGTAATCATGATTTGTTCAAGGTTTGGAACCTCCATGTGAACATCCATCTTGTCTGATGACAGGGGATCTCCAAGGACACGAAGGCTCAGCAGGTGACCTGCTCTGTGTCCACAGCCTCCCACCACATTAAAAAGTTGGTCAAGCCCAAGGAGAATTATTTGAGGCTTACTGCCCTCTGATTTGCTGCTTTAGTTCTAGCCATGAGCTTTCACTGAGGAGAACTGATCGGGGCTGGGCTTTAATTTAGCTTGTTCATATTATCCACATGAGAACAAGCCAAACAATATATTGAAACACACTCCATATCTGATCCTGGATGACATCAATTAAATACAATTATATGGAACAAATTTGAAGAAATCCACTATTATTAATAAAATATACAGAAAGTATGGTACATCTTTGGTAAAAATGACAAAAAATTTTAAAACAGTATCCACTTTAAAAAAGAGATCCGCAAAGTGCAGTTTCACATAGGTAACTTTATACCTGAAAAGCAATTAATTTCTAAGCCATTGGACATAAGCTGGACCAACAGTGAGAGAGTAAAACTACACCTAACGTGTAAGTTGTCAGGTGTGGATGATTTCCATAGCGACAAGAAAGGGCACGCCTAGGAAGGAATGGAAAATGATGCTTGCTGCTCAGGATCACAGAGCTGGCTGGCCATCTGTAGGTCCAATAGAATATACGCTGGGGGGTTTACAAATAGACCACCATTTCTACCTCAAGTTATCGCGTGCTCCGATGTTTCTGCGGATCATGGCCCCGGTTCTCCACCGTAGAGCTGTCTCTGGGCAGCCTCGGGACTGCCCTGTTGTAACAATCAGCAACAGAAAAATGTCCAGAACGGTTCCCATGGGCATTTGGTCAGACCAATCAAAGTGGCATCAGATCCGCTCTGTTGAAGGAGTCCCTACCTCGGGTTTACGCTGTCCTGTTATACAACGTGACCAGTGCTTTATCACGGGACAGCCAGTGCAGCCACTCAGACGCTGAGACTCCCGCGCAGTGATGTTAAAGGAAAACATAAAGGAGTATCTTTTTATCCGTATGGGTTTCCAGAGCTTCTCGAGTTGGCTTCAAGTGTTCACACTCACCATGTACCCTTGATTCGATTCATTGATTCCATGCATTCATGGCCATGGCCTCGTTCTGAAAAAGGCTTGAGGTCTGTGGACTTGACTCAAAACCAAAAAACGGAAAGGCACACATGACAGCCTGTCCCCTGGCCGGGAGAATGTTCTGTCATTCATTCATCGGTAAGACTTTGGCCCCGTGGGCCGTGATGTAGGTGAGAAGGATTCTGGCTCTCTGTTCCACTACGTCGATAAGCTTTTCAATCCCCTGCCTCCCTCCTTGGCTTTCCCAGTAAACCTTATCAAGGAAGAGAGATTGAAGGAGTTTCTGTCGTAAGTGCTGGCTCTTCAAAACAGAAACTGCAGACTCGGGAAACCTGCAAAAGACAAGATCTTATTTCATCCGTAGTCATTCAGTCTGGCCCTAAACACACGATCAGGTAGCGCCTTGAGAATCCAGTCACTTTTGTCACTGTCAAGCTGACACCTCTTTAATAATTATGTGCTAGAAGAATAGGTTATTGGCGTATAGTCAGTTTGCAGTGTTGTGTCAATTTCCGGTGTACAGAGGAATTGACTCTTCTACACCGTTGAGAACTTGACATACTAACATCTTACTTAAGGCCATTCTATGTAGGCAAAGAGAGGCACAGAATTAGAAAGAATTTGGAGAACCTGGCAAAAATGCTTTCCTCAGTTTGCAAGCTCCATCTCCCTCAGAGAAACCACTGTAATCTGTCAAGCAGAACATACCCTCCGAAGTGTCAACGCACAGTTTTATGCAAGAAAACATAGAAGCAAGATGCTGACAATGTCAGTAAAGTTCTCTTCCTGAGTAGAAGTTGCATGACTGGATTTGATGTGAAATCACCCAAAATGCATGTAGTCTAGAGAAAGAAATCATTCCGAAATGCCCAATTAAATAAAGAATTGCCTTTGATTCGGATGATCCTTCAGGAATTCTAAGAATCTGGGAACGTTCCATTGAACTAGAATACTAAATTGCTTGCAAATAAATTCAGCAGAAGTCAGGTTGGAGAGCCAGGGCATTCCACAATGAAGCATCTCTCCTGGAAAACCTGAGATCAGTTTAGAAGACTCCTTGCTGAAAGAGCTAAAGAGAGTGCATTGTGCTTTCTGTTCTTCATTAAGGAAAAAAAATTAATAAATAAAGCCAGGGGCCTAGCTCCTGCATTCTCTGAAGGACTTAGTAACATTTCTGATCCAAAATTATAAGCAATGGTTTGCTGCATCTCCAGTTTGGTCTCTCTCCCAGCTTTCATGAAAATGCTGCTGAAAGCACCATAGAAATATTGGGATTTAATAGTCATCTTCAAAGTAAACTCAGTTGTCCCTAAAACACTAAAAGAGAACATGCTTCAAGAGCACAGTTTGCTAGAAGTTTCTGGCCTCCAAGCACCTTTTACAAATTTCAGTGGAGCAGGCCAGGGACGGCGCCGAGGGCCATGAGAACAAGCTGTCCACGTGTTCCAGCATCGCTGATGCTGGAGACAGACCAGAGGCCGCAGAGCTGGACGTGCTTAATGGGCCTGAGTCAGTGTGGGGTTAAAGAATGCTAATCAGATGCTCCAAGCTCCCTGAAGACATGTGCTATATAATTTAGTGACCACAGTATTAATTAAGCAAGCACCTTTGCTCTATGAAGTATTCATAATCCGTGATTTATAAGTTCTATGGCCCTTGAACCAATTTAGCTGTGGCAGAATGATGAGATGAGACCATTAAAACCATGGATCTCTTTCGTGACAAATTCTTCTCATAAAGGAAAAAAAAATTACTTGCTTTTGCATTACCCGGATTAGCAGAAATATTCCAGGCATAAATCTGGGTTAGCCAAGTCTTCATTTTTGCTTTGGAAGGTGTAAATTACTTATTCAAAGAAGATTTCACTTGAAGCTCATTACTCCTCATAATGCATTTAAAGTTAAATCCTCTTTGAAAGCATAAGTAAAATATTATTCATATTTTTATGAATGTATGGGATAGGTAGGGTCTCCAGGCACTCTTAATTCTAAAAGGAAATTCCGGGATTTAAGACACTGTAATATCAACCCAGGAAGTGATGTCTCTGGGGTGTAAATTTCCCCACACCTACAATCTTCTTAGTTTAGACACAGAGAGAAGAGAATCTGCTATACACTCTACCTTCAGTCCACAAAGAGGTGCGAGGAGTGGGTATTAACAGGGAAAGACACGGCCAAGATGCATGGAATGGGGGCTCACGAAATGCATCCTCTCTAGTGTTGACAGTACATAAAATCCACGCTCCCTAACTCATGGTGCTGGGAAGAACTGTTGAAATAGGCTTCAGAGGTTTAGTAAAAAGAGTAATAGTAACAGCAGGAACAATGACGTTCCGCAGAAAAATGACCAGACTTGGAGGACCTGGGTTCTCCCGTCAATTTCAGACTCGCCCCTGCGCTCCCAGCCGTCACTCAGCTTCGCAAAGCTGGCCGACTGTTACACTAGAGCATCTTCTATCTTCAAGTCTCAGACCCACCCCCTCTTCTAGTGGCGCTGATTTTTGCCCAAGGGAGACCAGGAAGGGTAGTTACGAGGGGAAGCCTGAAATCCAGCCGCAGACTCCGTGGCTGGGGGCAAACAGCTCAGACTCTACAGTGAGGTTTCTGCCACTCTTAAGTGTCTTAGTCCCTTGGTTTCCAAATATGTGTAAGCTCAGGATACCTTTTTCCCATAATCTACGTCTATGGAAGGATTGTCAAGCGCTCAGAAAGCCCCCTATTTGAATAAATAGCCATTCATTGGCCTTCGACACTCTGTTCTACTCAGCCGATTGGCTGTGACTTTCTACGTGTTGATAAAGTCACTTGAGTTTATTCCGCCGTTGGACATCCTGCACGTCAGTATCTGCAATCTGTGACTCCTCTGTCCTGGGTCCTGGTGACAGAGCTTTTGCCACTTGCTTATCCCTGCACTTTCTATTTCAGAGACCCCTGTGGGCTTCCCACTACGCCCACGTAGGTTGTCACAGTGAGAGCCAAGCCACACGGCGGACGTGAGATGCAGCGGGAGCTCTGCAGGTGGTGTGAGTCGGTGATGATCTGTCTTGGGTTCATTTCCCTTCTCAGGGCCCCCGTTCCCTGGTTCCCTTTCAGGGCCCCATCGATCAGACACAGGATGTGAGTTTCCTCAAAACCTCACTGCTTACTCAGCATAAATGTGATGTCCTGCCTCTGTCACTACATCGTAAAACTTACTCTTTGATGCCTTCTAACAGTTTGAAGTTCAAGTTATCCTCGCTTCTGTCAAAGAATCCCTTGTTGTCTATAAAGACCAAGTGCCTGGGGTCCTGCTTTCGCTGGACAATGTGCTGCAGAGCCACAGAATCCTGCTTGTCACATCTGGGCCTCCGCCCGCTCTGCACACAGGCATCTTCCTTCCGAGGGCGGAATCCACAGCAGTGTGCATCCAAGCGATTGTAAATCTGAAAATGGAAAGCAAAAAACAAAACCCAAGATGCTGAGTGGAAACAAAACTTGGGAAAGTTAGAAGATTTCCAAAGAACTGGAGATTTCTTTCTCAATAGCTGACTTGCCAGCGTCCGATCGGGCCAGGCTCACTTAATTAAAGGCAACTGTCAGAGTAAGTCCAAGGTTCACATCCTTCTGACTCAGGCACAGAATGAGCGTTTCCAGCTTCTGCTAACAGCTCCAAGGTCAGATCATCCAAGTTAAGCATCTCCACCCTTAACATTCAAGTTCCCACTGACATCATGGGTGGATGCATGGCCAGAAGAATCTGATTCTATTCAGGACAGAAGCTAGAGACCACTGTCCTGTGACCCACCCAGAAGGCTGTATCTTATTCTCGCCCTCAGGTTGTGTCATAGAAAACCTGAGTCATCCCAGTGTCTCTAGAATTCGACTGCATCTCTGAACCTCCATGAACTTCCGTGCTGCAGCATCTAACCTGAAATAACGGAGGACAAATCTATTGGCAAGATGTTAAGTTCAATCATGAAATCCAACACACTACTTGTATGAAGCCCACGGCTGGATTTTAAATAAGCAAGCAAGATGAGCAGAGCACTTGGGCCTCCTGGGGTTTACTGGGGGAACAGGGCCACTACCTTACAGAAGAGGGTAAACAGATGAACTCAAAAAGGGAGAATTGTGTCATTTCCATTTCTTTGGGGCAAGGGAAGAAATAATATTTATTCTTCAGGGTAAATTAAAGTCTGAGCTCAGGAATCAGATAAACGTAAAGTCCAGTATCGGCTCTCACACTTTGCAGCTCTGCGATGCCTTTACTGCACTGACTCTCAATTTGATCATCTGTAAAATGGGGATGATAGCATTCACCCTGCGCATTTAGTCAGAGGATTAATGAAAGGGTCTGGACATGCTCCAGCCCTGACCCAGGCATTGAGAAGATCCTTGAAAAAATGAAAACTGTTAGTACTACTGTCCAGGCACACACGTGCACACTGTAGGAAGTGTTTTATCTCAAAACAAGCTTCCAAAAAAAAAAAAAAGAAACCAAACAAAACCTTATTGTGGGGAAGGAGTTAAAAAAAAAACCAAGCTTCCAAGGCAAAAGGTAATTTCTCCATTTCAATAGAGGGAAACAGCCTCAGAGAGGTTAAATATCTGCAGCACAGAATTCCTGCAAGTAGCAAAGGTAAGATTCAGACATAGCTGTGTTTGTCTTCAGTTTCCCAGTGTCCCCCTAGGTCATCACGTTGAGGAGTTGAAGGCTAGGCAAGGTCGCACAGATGCTTGTGATTCAAAGATTCCTCAACACAGACTGGCACTTTGATTCTTCTGGCATCGAACTCCGTCCTTTCTCTCCCTCCTGTGTTTTCGCAGACCTGTGGGGTTGGCCGCTCTAGGTGGCCAAGTGCTAAGAAAGGGTGGCAGGAATAGCAGTCTCAAAATGTAGCCTATCCTGTAATAACCATCCAGCCAGCCAGCCAGCCAGCTGTTCACTGGGCATCTTCCACCACCCATCAGTGGACTGGGTGCCGAGGCAAATGCCGCCCATGGCCAGCACCTCCCCAGCATCACCACTACTTCTAAAGGAAAATGAAGTGGTTTAATTTTGCCTCAGTACCACAGCAAACTCTAGGCACTGGACCAATGACCCTCGTCTCTGTTTCCTGCACATAGGGGACTTGGTATTAATAGCACACCTCGGGAAGCAGGGACTGGAAGAGGAGTTAGCATAAGCCAACTTTCTATGACGTTTATATGAAGCCAGTCACATGGGCGGGGTGGTCACGGAGCCACCGGCACCTGGACAGCTCAGAGGGTGCACGGCGGGTCTCCAAACAACCTGCAGATCAGGGAGGTCTCCTTCAGAACTGGCTCCAGGAAGCCGATCTGTGGGGCTGTTACGTCTAACCAATGGTTTATCCAGAAGGCCACAGAGGCTGACTCCAGGGCACAGCCAGTTCCCACTGCTGGTTCAAGTGCATCCGCTGAACCCAAGGGCACCAACATTCCCCCAAGGTGAGCTAGAGTGCGCCCAGCAAGTCCCTCTAGGGCACATGAAAGAGGCATAAATTAGAAACCACTAGAAACCTGTATTGGGCCCTTTCCCCTGAATTTCTTTCCTTTTATGGAGAACCTTGACTGCCTGTGAATATAAGAGAAACCAAATGAAATAAAGAGATTTGTACATGGTCACCAATTATTTAAGTGAAGACCAGAGGGTCAGAGAGAACATAAAAAATTACTTCTGGAAGCTGCTTCTCATCCAAGGTCCCTTTTTAACAAACATTAGCTAATGAATCTCAAAGAATCTTTATACCATTTCCCCCCAAAAAAGCACCATATGTTTTAATCCAATTATAATGACGTTATATATGGTTAAAAAAAATCTTAATCCTGTTTCATTCAGGCTACCACATTTTGGATAAATGTGTATAGAACTTTGTTTTTAATTTCATTGTAGAAGTTTACAATGTTGGTTAATTTCTGGCGTTCAGCATAGTGATTCAGTGAGAGCTATAGATACATATATACCTTTTCATATTCTTTTCCATTACAGGTTATTACAAGGTATTGAATACAGTTCCCAGTGCTATATAGTAGGGCCTTGTTGTTTATCTATTTTATGCATAGAATGAATACAAACTTCTGGTTACCGGGGAGGGAAGAGAGGGTGGGGGGGATAAACCGAGACTCTGAGATTTGCAGATACTAACTTTCAAGGACACATCCACCAAGCACTTCTTAAAGAGCGCTCTGAGCCCCAGGCTGTTTCTTCATTGTCGATTGCTAGTGGTGAGAAAGGACTAAGACACGTAGCGACATTTCTGCTGTTTCTACAAGAGAGCCATGAGCATCACGTATGTAGACTAACAAGCACTTTAGAGTTTAGATCCTCACTTTCAGGATGTCTGTAAATATTACACTTTTCCATTTTTAAACTATAAGAAAGCATTCAAAGTCAGAGGTCGAAAAGACCCAACTTAGGGCATCTTTTTACTGCCTTTTTCTCCACATCAGATTGCTTCCTACGGCGTATTTTTAAAGTGCTTTGTCTGATCTAATTTTGAATCACTCAACAGCCTGTGATGATTTCACTTCCCCAACAGACGGCTGCGTCTCTCAGGTCCAACAGACCTTATTACTGAAAACGTGTGTTCAGCTTAACTTCACCTCCGAAATCGTGTGTCAGTCCTGTAGTTCAGATCCATGCACCTGCTTGGTGTGTATGTTAACACGGGTTGAGTGCGTGTGTATAAGTGTGTCTGTGTTCCACCTACAGACACAGAATCAGACTGTAAGGCCTCAAATCACTGGAGTTTACTTTATTTTTCTTAGCCTCCAACTGGAGGCTAAATTCTGTCTTTGCATCAGTGTCTCTGTCTAGCAAGGGCTTAAGTAACTCTTAAATCATGCCTCCAGCTCTTCCCAGAATTATGTTTATGGTCCTCCCTTCAAATTGACATTCAATATACTGGAAATAATTTGACCATGAAACCATAATCCTTAAATTCAGTGCCACTTTTCTTGGCATTTAATTTAGTTATATATAGAAATATATATATATATTTCTGCTTAGTTTTAGCAGATTTTACCTAACTTTTTAAGGCCTAATAAAGCATATCTTAGATACCTATGTATCTGCCACATGGTTCTAATGTATGTATTTGTGTAGTGCACGCATTAAAACAAGCACTCCGTTTCACTGTCACGTGACGAAGCCCCAGAGTTATTACTGGCGTGTCTGTGTTCTTGGATAGTAACCCTACAAAGAACCCACTTGGGGGTATAGCTTGTCAACTAAGCAGTTATGACTATTCACCACCATTACTGCATCTTGTTCAAATTCACAGCTTCTCACTCTTTAAAAAGAAAAAAAAAGGCAAAATTTTTACAAAATTGAACTTCTGAAGCTGAAGATGATGGCCAACCATCATTTTTCCATAAAATGACTCTTTCTTCTTTTAGGAAAATATATCTGTTCAGTGTTTACCTAACTAAAAATATATTCAGAAAAATCCAGGTGCTCCAGCCAAATATTTTGTGGGTGGGGATATTTTTAGACATGCTGCCTTTCTTCTAAAGTTTCTTTTTTTAAATCCCATTTTCCTTCTGGTAGTGTTAGTTTTGTCTGTCAGAAAAAAAAGTTCTTATAAGTGACCTGAGTTATGTGCCTACAGCCTAAACAAGGATGTCCCGGCTGCCCAGACCAGCTCCCCAAAGCTCAGTAGGAATCTGCAGAAATCCAGTGACTTTCCACACTTTGGCACCCCCATCCATTCTCGCCGTGTCTTCAAAAAGTGGGCCTGTCACACAGAGAACAGATGGTTCCCAGAAGGGGAAAAGGGGGTGGGAAGGGACAAACGGGGAATTCAAGATGTGCAGATAGCAAATACTATATATAAAATAGATTAACAACAAGTTTCTATTGTAGAGCACAGGGAACTATATTCAATATCTTGTGGTAACCTATAATGAAAAAGAATATGAAAATGAAAAAAAAAAGTGGGTCTTTCAAAGCCATTGTGGGAGTCTCTTCTTATCTCTTTCTCCTCAAAACAAAGCAGTTACATGACTAATTTTATTGCCTGAACAAAGGCAATGGAATATATTCTAAACATGCTGCCAATATTGATAATGAAAAACATAACAGCAGGCATTTACTGAGCGGCAGGTGTGTGCCAGGAATTGTGCCCTTAACTGTTCACATGTATTATTTGATTTTCACAGCAACGTTAAGAGCTAGGTGCTACCAGCAATCCCCTGTGATACCTGAGGAAACTGAGGCACACAGCGGCTAATTAGCTGACTCAAGATCCCTCAGCTGACACGTGACAGAACTCAGGACTCTAGCCCAGATGTCTGTGTGTGACTTCCAAGTGCACGCTTTTATGCACCCTGAGTGGATGTCTCAGGTGCAGCCTCCGAGGTGGCGCTGCAGAACGACACGCGCGTTTGCACAGAACGCTAAGTGAGACTGCTTTCAATAAGA